GATCTCATCCTATCCAAGAGGGCAAAGATAAGGACAAAGGCATTTTCAATTTTAATTATTAAAGAATGAGACAGTACGGTGGTCATTGGAGAAAGAAAAGTTTATATATATTTCACTATAGTAGTTTCAAGTCTTCTGAGGCAGGTCTGGCTCAAGTACGAGGATTTCATCGGAAAGTCTTTGTGTCTCTGAGCTGGACATTTTCCTTCCAGGCCTTTTTTCTTTTACAGAGCTGAGACCAATTTTCTTTAATGCATTTTAACAGACCTTTAATAAAATTACAAAAGGTGGAGCAACTTGGTACAACTTGATCTTCAATATTGTAAATATATCAAAAAGAAGGAAAAACAACAGCGCGATCATTAGTGACTAAAAGCAGGAACTTGCATGTGAGCTGTACAACAGTGAGGTCAGTATTAATGTGCTCTGAAACATGCCAAAACATGAACAAAAACATGAAGTTCTTTGTTTTATAATGCAGCCAAACTGTGAGTCATATGCTTAATAATTTAACACGCAAGGTCTGCCTGCTGCTGTCGTATTTATATTTTACTGCTGCAGGATTTCATCAGGTCAAAACTGATCACGGTTCCTTTTTTTAAAGTCTAAAGTCAGATCAGCTCGCACAGAGGACGAGCTCAAGCCCTCATTTCTGACTCCGTTCTCAATTTCAGTCTGTTTTATTGATGTGAATCAATAATAGTAAAACAGACATCTACGTTTGAACAATACATGAATCCCCAGTTCATGAAGTTTGCCGTCGCCACAGTCTGACAGGAGTGTCTTATATTAAATGACCTCTGAAGAAACTCCAGGGAGAGGGCTCATGACAAATAACCGTGCTTGTAGAAAAAAGAAAAAGAAAAAAGAAAGAAGAGGATGGAGCGGTGGTGAGTTGGTCCAACCGTTCCAGAGCAGCAGAAGAAGACGAAGAAGTAGAACATCAGTGTTGAGTGATTAGAATAACAACAGTGGGCAGACAGCAAGTGTAGATCTCTGCTGTGGAACATACGTGACCGCCGACTCCATTTTTCAGTCGCCGGCCGACAGAACGTTTGATCTGGCTCTATTTCTTCATGTCAACAGCCGTGTGTGTGTGTGTGTGTGTGTGTGTTGCACAGACACACACAGGCCTGTCCTCCCCTGCGTGAGGTAGTGCGGGAAGTAGGGAGGCAGGGGAGGGAAGCTCTTATATTAATGGCTGCGGTTAACCTGGAAGGGTCAAACCCATTGGAGCTGTTGATGGATCTGGTCTGCAGGAGCTCTCTCTCTCTCTCTCTCTCTCTCTCTCTCTCTGTATCAACACACTAGCACTTGTCCACATGTGTGCAGGCCTAGGTTGCATGACCATCAGTCTGTGGTTGTCCAGAGATGAAGATGATGAGGAGGGGAGGGCAGCGGGGGCACAGAGATGGTGGAAAAAAAAGAAAAAAAAAGATGATTGATATAAAAGAGCAAATTGTAGTTTTAGTTACAGGCGTGTTTATCAGAGGCAGGGGGGATGAGGTAAACCTCAGTGGGTGGAGCCTCTTTACAACAGTGTTTCAAGATAGTGAGGAAAGATATCTGAGAACAAAAATAAGTTTTATCTCCTTAACATGAAAGACGTCATCAAAAACAATTAGCTGTTAAGTAATGACAAAGTGTTGGATGAATGAAAGCTCATTCCCTCACACACATTCCCACTGAGAGCTCCTGAGGTGCTACAACAGCGTCTACTGCTTTGGCCTTTGCTTCTCAGAGACAACAATCATCAACCTGGGTGTCATGTTTGATGTTCAGCTCTCCTTCTCTGACCACGTTGCATCCGTCTCCCGGTCGTGCCGCTTTGCTCTGTACAACATCAGAAAAATCAGGCCCTTCCTGACTCAGCACGCCACCCAGCTCTTGGTCCAGGCCTTGGCTATCTCTTGCCTTGACTCCTGGACCAGATCAGCCCCTAAAAGGACGCATCTCACTCCGCTACTCATCGACCTCCACTGGCTACCTGTGGCCGCCAGAATCAAATTCAAGTCACTAATGCTCGCCATTTGTTGGGAAGACCCAAACATACAGGAGGTGTTCGAATGAAGGACAGATGCTGATGGCTTCCAGTGAGGAATGTTTCCTTTAGAAACGTCGGCAAAAGTCGAAATGAATTTCAGACATTGCCAGTGTTCTCTGACGTGTTGAGCCCACCCAAGATGTTTGCAGTTATAAACACACGATGTGGTCTGATTATTCATCAACGTGGTTTGTGACGCATTGCAATTAAAAATGTGAGGCAGAGCAGTAACAATAGTTTTACTACAATGCAGCAATAGACTGCAAACAAACTGCTACTTGCACACATTTTTAAGTTTTTTTCTGGTACATCATGGCACTGGATTCAGCACCCCAAAAATATATGAACTGTTATCTTACTTGACAACAAATCTCAGTCTAAACACTCCCCTATAGTCACTTGACTTATCGCTGGTTGTATGAGGAAAAAAAAAAGTTTCTCAGAGATGTGAAAAACTGCTAAATGTAGCAACAACCTCTACCTACTGAATGAAATGATCTCATGAAATTATGAATGTATTGTGTAACTAAAAGTATCATCACGGATATAAAAAAGCCTAGAAGATATAGAACATGACAATGAACAAATTAAATTATAGATAGAGGAGCGGTAGAGTTAAAAAGATGGGTAGGATGGCAGCAGGAGGTCAAGTAATATCCTCAGGAGTCACCTGATGGATGAGCATTAAAATATTTTTAGCTTTTAGTGCCAAAATAAAAAGAGGGAAAGTGTTCAGCAACAGGTTTCTATACTTTCTAATAATATAATTATTGGTTAAATGTGAAGGGTTTGAACTTATGTCTTTATATCTTATCAACAGTAACTATTGAATACACGACCTCTCACCAAAAACTAAAGCTGTAACTAGGAAGTCAAGAGTAAATGTGTAAAACTATGATCAATCAGTAGTATCATATATAACCATGCTGCAGTGAATACACAGTTTGCCTTAGTTTAATGCCCAGAATGAGAAACCACCTCACTGCAACACGAGGGAACACATCCAACTCTGTTTCCATGGACACTTCAGGATCAAAGCCCGTGTGTTATGATGCGTGCAGATAACATACTTGGGTTTGTGCTTTTGAATAGCAGCAACCAGGAAGTACCCGAAGGAAACAAACTTGTTTCCAAACCAAAGCATCTGACACAAGTTACGGCCCTAATTGAATCAAGCCCACCGTTCCTATAGACAGGGTTTCCCTATGATGCTATCCACGGCTGTGACTGTGATCTCAGAGCAAAACAAAAGGATGACATCAGCGGGGGAAACAGAGGAGAGGGGGGGGGGGGGGGGGGGGGGGGGAGGGGGGGGGGGGGGGGGAGAGAGAGAGAGAGAGAGAGAGAGAGAGAGAGAGAGAGAGAGAGAGAGAGGAAGATATGCTCCCAATTACACGACAGCGTCGTAGATTAAAGAGCGAGGGGCTGTGTGTTTGGGGCCGCATGGAAACGGCTACTATTGATGAATGGAGAGATTAACTGTGTTATAATGAGATGAGATGACTGGCTCCACACTGCAAGGGTCAGGCCTAATTTTGAAGTAGAGAAGAGTTTAAAGGACAAGGTTCAATATACTATTGTCTGTTTATACCATAGAGCTCAAGTGTTGTCCAGAAACTAATAAAAACACATCACTGAGCGACACTGTTGCACTGGGTGACATGTTCTTTCATTTCCAATGAACAAGGGGACCCCAACAAATGCATTATTTACTCCTGTTTGGGTAACATTTGCTAAAAACTACAATGTTGTTTGTGGAAATTACCGAGCCTTTTCTTTAAAAAAGAATTTAGTCTTCAGTAGGAACCAGTGGGTTTGGGTTTGAGAAGGTGGGTGGAGAAGTCACAGTACTGAGAGACGGGTGAACAGAGTTTGTTTTGGGTTTCTTCGGGGGATCTGTTGACAGTGAGGAATGGAAAGGAAAGGAAAGGAAAAGGAAAGGTATGATTTTAATTGTCTTAAAAGGATACAGCTACATATATATATATATATATATATATAATGTACATATGCACCAACCGTGCATTAGTCTGCATTTCAGTATTTTCCAACTTCCCTCAGCCCGTCTCTGGCACTCAGCCCTGAGCTCGTTAGCTCCTGCTGACTTCATTAATTACTGCCTCACCTCCGTCCACACTCGTGTCTTTGAGGGAATTTAATAAAAAGGTATTCAGTGTTTTTGCTGAACATTTTGATGTCATAGTGAAGTTGACCTTTGACCTTTCGGATACAAAATGTCATCACTTCATTTTATCCTATTAGACATTGGCGTTAAATTGTGTCATAATTAGCCAGTGAATTCTTGAGTTGGGGCCTGTTTTGCGAGCTCACGGTGACTTTGACCTTTGACCTTTTACCATCAAATTCTAATCAGTTCGATCTATTCCATCCATGCGTTCCTGAGATATCACGTTCACAAGAATGGGATATACGTGAGGTCGCGGTGACCTTGACCTTTGACCTTCGACCACCAAGACCTAACCAGTTCATCCTTGAGTCCAAGTGAACATTTTGTCCCTCAAGACGAAGACGCTCCTGAGATATCGTGATCAGGAGACTGGGACGGTCGGACGAACGATCTGAAAACATAATTCCTCCGGTCACCGCCACCGCTGTGGAGGCATAAAAAAAAATAATCTTCCTTAAACAGCTGGAAACTTTAGTAAACATTACTCAAGCAGAAGTAAACAGCGCACTGGGACTATTTTCAGCAGCGGACTCGTAAACATTTGGCGCAGCAGCAGAAAAGTATATGTGAGATTTACTCAAGAAAAACTACATTGATCATAATGACAAAAAATGTCACAGAGTGCAAAGACGCAGCTCACTGATGTTGAATAGTTTTCAGGCAACAATGGAGCGAAGAGGAATAAGAAATATCCGACTTGTTAACATGATCTTTTTGTGCGATTTGTTAACAATAATAAAAAAACATGGAATCAGTCGTACCCTTTAATCTTTAAGAAAAGGTTCAGTTACACTGGAATCAAGTGACACTCATTTATTATGCTTTCACCAGATAAATTTATAACACAAACACAAATATTAAAATCTGCCCCCCCCCAGCCTGCGTCATGTACCTGTGATACAGTCCAGAGGCAGGCGACAGAGATTACAGAGCTTTGCTGCAAAGCACACAGACACGTTAGTACGTCAAGTCAAGTTCGTCTCCCCGCTGCTCGTCCTCAGTCCTGAGCTGGAACGAGGGAGGAAGACGACAGGCGCAGGTAAAGAAAGCTTTTTTTTTTTTCTTTTTTTTTCACAGTGCTTAGAAATGTGGTAGTGGTTTAGGACCCCCTCCCTCAGGATCCACATTTACCCATTAACGGGACTTCTTGCTTTCACTTCTTTCTGTCTCGATAAAGAGGAAGCACTGAGGACAACAACAAAGAAAGCTTATTCACATCACAGCTCTCACGTCCGCGGGTCTCGAGGGGTTCATCACCCGCCTGGTCCGACCAGAAAGGACAACAATCATCTGTGGGCTGTAAAACACTGCAACGGACATAACCCTGAAGGTCTGAGTGATATGAACGTATTGCTTCTGTTAAGCTACATGAAGGTGAAGACTGTCTCCACTTTTCAAAACTTGATTGTCTCAGTATTTTAATGATAACACCAGGCTGCCGCTCTGCAGATCTGCCTCAGAACAGGAACACAGCTGATCATCTGTCACACAACGTTATGGCTGTTTCAGTTTTTTGTTACTAGCTTGAGGTTAATGACTAAGAATATGCAGAGAACCACAAACCCTGACACATTTTCCACCTCTGTTCTTGACTCAGCAGATAAAATTTTGGTTATGAGTTATATATGATGCAGATCTAAATAGCAGGGCAGTATGACTGTGAAATTGGCCAACAACAAATAAGTGACATCTAGTCTGTAGATGACAGATTTATACTGTGAGTGACTGAGCTTTTTTCTGAATATGATTTCAGACTCTCTGTGCAACCCCCACTTTTTCTAAAAACTTCTTTTTCCATACATTATCCAGACTTTCCAGACATGCACAGGAACCCTGATCACATGGCCCAGGAGATGTTGGCAGTGTGCTCCTTGGCTTTCATGCGCAGCACGGCGATGCTGGACGAGCGCCTCTCAAACTCGGGCTTGGTCTCGAAGGCGTGGTGACCGTTGGCGGCCGGCGTGAGGAGAGAGTCTGCGCTGAAGAAATTGTTGAGGGAGACGTGCCCGAACTGGTTCTGCTGATTAGGAAAGCCCACGTAGCCGTGGTCAGCTGCACCAGCGGCCGAGCGGGGGGAGTGCGAGTAGGAAGTGACGCAGGGCGGGGAGCCTCGGGGCAGCATGCAGGAGGAGACCACAGAGCCACCAGAAGCCGGACTCGGCCACAGGTTGTTGGAGATCTGTTGGATAAAGACAGTGTTAGATACTTAGATTGATTTTCATAACACAAAGATCCACTGGAACAAATACCCCAAAATTTGTTTGAAAAATATATATATATTATTAATCTATCAACTACTTACAATAGATCTTTTTTTTTTTTTTTAGAGAAGCAGCATGTAAAAGTAGCTGGATGGAAGGATAAATAAAGACCTACAATCACCCACTCAGTGATGAAGATCATGACATACAGTCAAAAGCTTTAAAAAAAAAAAAAAAAAAAAAAAAAAAAAAAAGCCAGTAAGCAGACCTGTTGAGTTGATATTATTTTGTCACACTGTATAAAAGTAGTTTATAGAAATGTTTGACTTCTGCAGACGGCACTGAAAATAAAAAACATACGTTTCTGAACTAAATCTCTTTTATTGTCTGTGCATGTGGTTCTCTGCTGCGACCCCAGTGCACTGTTAGGAAGCTACAGAGGAAAAGAATAAACAAAACATATCTACATAATTAAAAACAATATTGCTCTGGTTACTGAGTGTTGGTCAAAGATACACATAATGCATCAATTAAAATACAGTAATATTATGTAAAATGTTAAATAAAAGGGAAAAAATCAAATCTACACACACATGAATTTCTCCTAGGGGATAAATAAAGTATCTATCTATCTATCTATCTATCTATCTATCACCCCTTCAACAAAATAAATATATAAATATAAATATATATACATATTTATATGTGGACAAATGACAAATACTGGACAAAGGAAACTATTCTCATGAGTTCTTACACCCGTTTCACACAATGAGTAAATGAGAGTACCGATAGAGGAAAGTGAGAAAATATGTTTTTAATCATTTTGAGTGAACGGTTAAAGGTATTTTAAATGCACATGAATTTAAATAAATTCAAAGAAATTTCTAAAATTCATCAGAAGAGGGTCACAGAGCCGCCGGTAGCATTTCATCAGACGGTCAGAGAGCACACAAGACAGTCAGTACAGAGAGTAGACATAAACCCATCTGGTCGACACACAGCACAGCACCACATGACTGATTCTTTAAGGCAGGAGCGTCGCTCCACAGAGCAGCGTGTCCGTCTGTGACGTGAAGTACGGGCTCCGCTCTGACAGCTCCATCACATTAAAATGACTTCATTCACTCTGCGGCAGTTCATTTGGTCTCATTTGCCAAGATTTCACTCAAACTGAGAAGACGAGCCCACGTATGTGAGAGGCATGCAAATTCATTTGTTCAAAATCAAGTCACCGAAACATGAAACGACAGCTTCCTTCATTAACTGTTCCGTATATATACCTGCGGCGTGGTTCAGAAAATTTAGAAAAGCTGCATTTCTTCCTCAGCACAAGGACAACACCTTTTGGCCAAAGTTTAATTTACAGAAAATTTGAACAAACAGCACAAGCCCACTGCGGTTTGCTGAAGAGTTAAAGTCCACTTTGACAGTTAGATAAACTTCCTTTGTAGCACAAAAATGTGGTTGTAGCATGAGAGTCAGCTTCAGCTTGGCCAATCCAACGTTTCCTAACCGTGCCTTCCTGACAACATGTGCCATCCATAAGCACAACTTCAATCTTTTGCCCCAAAGAGCAGCAAGAATGGCCAAAAAAAACAAACAAAAAAAACTCGACAGTTAACAAAAGGAAAACCAAACTCCTTAAAAACCCAAAAGAATGCAATCCATGTCCACTGTGTTTAGGGAGACAAAAACACTCACTGCCAACACAGTTACTTGTAGGGCGGTCCATTTAATGACAGTAATCTGGATCAGCTGGAAGAAAGGGCATGGGTATCCAGGGCTATCTATCAGAAACATGTGTGAGGAAAATAAGAGACAGTCCAACAGATTTTTGACCTGGTCTTGGGCCAGGGCATAGCAGAGCTGTGACTCCAACTTCTAATGTTTTTTTTTTTCCTTCACAATTCTGCCTCTTTGAGATTCAACAAAGCCGCTTTCTTTAAACTTTAAAATATGAACGCTCACTCCTCTGAGAAGCTGCTGCCTGCACATTTCCATCTCTGCAAAAAAAAAAACAACAACCATAGGCTCAACAACACTTGGAGGCCCTAATCTGAGTCTCTGATAGGGAACACCTACCCAGAGGACAAAGCTGACACTCTGCATCTCCTCTCACCTCATCTTGTACCTGACCTTTGTCCAAACTTCAAGATAAATGTTCAGCCAACATGAAATCTGATATCAGGCCATTCATTCAGCCATGACACCTGGCAGCCTCTCTAATCAGTGTTCTGTAGATGGGGTTCATAATAAGTGATTAATTGTGCGGCAATAAAAGGGCGGCCAGTTTGTGCAATTTGTTGTGACTTAACATGAAATTAATATTTTAGAGGAGAGGGATCGAGATAACAGGCCGCTGTGAGCGCATTACGCATCCATTACGCGCCCTGTGCGTAATATGCTTTTGACAAACAGCCATAAATCCCCCTCAGATCTTCACAGTGGCAATAAAAAGCGTGACTCTTGTGGAAATCGTGGAGTAAAAACTTGCCTGTGTGTAGCTGTCGGTCCTCGGCAACACTGATAAATCGTAGGTGGCTGCAAAGTGAGTTTTGGCTTGTTGGATCTGCCCGTAGCGCTCTCTTTTCCTCCACTTTGCTCTTCTGTTCTGAAACCACACCTGGGTGGAAGAAAACAATGGAAAATAAAATAAAATGAAACAAAACTAAATCTTTTGAATTAATGTGACGCACGAAATATCACATGGCATTTGTCTCCAAAAGAAAAGTCAAGGAGATAATCTGTTGGAAGGAAAAAGTAATGTGTTCAATTAAGATTTGCGATAATATTTGGCGGTGTTTTCATTTGACTTTTTATTTATTTTTATTTTTTATTTATTGCTCTACATTTAAGTTGCATCCCTTCTTTTTTTTTTTACTTTATGGTTTGCTCTCCCAAAAGTGAAACGTAAAGAAAATAAAGAGTCCGGTGATAAATTGTACCTGCACTCTGGCCTCTGTTAATTCCGTCCTCATGGCCAGCTGTTCCCTCACATAAACATCTGGATAGTGAGTTTTCTGAAACACTTTCTCCAGCTCCTCCAGCTGCGCGCTAGTGAAGGTTGTCCGGTGTCTCCTCTTCTTGCTGCTGGACACGTTGCTGTCGCATTTGTCCCCCATGTCGTCCAGATCTGTTTTCTCCTGCCCGGTCGTCACCGGGGAGGCCCGCAGAGTGCAACAACTGTCCATCGACCTCCCGAGGTCCGAGTGCAAAGTGTCGTCGTCTGTTTTTGGCACAACGTAACTGGCTGGAAGGAACAAGGAACAAATTAATAATACGATATTTCACACCGTGCATGTTAGGCTATAATATTGCAATTGTAACTTAAAAATAAATCAGCAGGCTCCAAGTGTGGACTGAAGACTTGCTGCTGTTATTAAAAAATACAAATTATAAGTTAACTTTGATCCTTTAAGTGTTTTATATTAAACTAAACGTGAAAATCAAAGTAAATATTTTAAATATTTTGAAAATGGCGAAAACATGAAATAATTATAGAAGAAATAACATCTAATGAGAATAATTGAACCCCACAAAAGACGCGTCTGAAAACTTTTGGACAGAAAAAAAAAGAAACGAAACGATTGGATGGTGAATTTCCTTCAATGAAAGTTTTTCTTTTTCTCTTTAACTCGCACACAGATGCAGACCAGCTCCTCTACAGCCGGTAGTGTTGATGCAAAAAAGAAAAAAAAAGTCAGTTACACAACACAAGTTTTTACGCACCGTTTTGGTCTCCGCAGGGCGAGGAGCGATGTTCGCCGCTCTGAAGCCCGAAGGCCTGCACGCACTTCGGGGAGGACTTGGTGAAGTACTGCGCGCTGTCCAGGCTCTCCATGACCTGGTCCATGTAGTACTCGCTGGCCTTCATCGCTTGATTTTTCAAGGCAAACTTATCCTCCATGTACTCCATCCTCTCAACAACCCAGATCCCGCTCCGCTTTTTAATCAGATGTCACCATAAAGGCAGAAACGAATCGCTAATCGTCGCGCGCCGATTAGCGGAACGACGCGTCGCTGCGCAATAATTTGCCAATGGAGTTAATTTGCTCTGTCTTGAAGGCACAACGTTTTTATAGCCCCAAAGAGAACGAGATCCTGGAGGAGTCCCCCCCCACCCCACCCCACCCTCCCTCTCTCCTGCCCCCCTCCTCTCTGAATATGAAACAGCACCCAACTCCTCCCACGCGCTGGAAACCAAACCAAGCAGCAGTTTGAAGTGATTCTAGACCCACAACGACTCTGAGAGGAAACAATCAAAAGTGACTGAAATTTACAACATGTTTAGACATTCAGAACGAGGCAATAATTTATCTGCAGCTACGAGTCGTGCCTGCAAATGGGATCTAATCAGAGTGTGTGGACACTGATCTCTGCTGCTCATTCATTTCGTTTTTAGGGCAGTTTAACCTGGATGGAGCCGGAATAAAGTGACCAGCAAAATGTTCTAAAATTCCATTTTAAAGGTGTTTGGATAATAAAAATCTATTTACTTAATTTTAGTTTATTATTTATTTAATGAACTTTGCATCAAGGAAGCTGATTTATATTCTTGTATTTTTATTTATTTATAGATTTGTTAAACCTCACATTTTAAGCCTATATAAAGGCGTTATGTCACTAATTTTAAATTTGCAAATTTGTCCAGAAAAGCAAATAAATTTGGACTTTTAATAGGAAAAACTTCTTTCTTTTTTTTTAAGTTCAATAAAAGCATGGCCTGCTTACAGAAATGATGTGTGGCGCATTTTAGATACAACCTATTGGCCTATTTAGAAAATAAGGCTCCACATTTTATTTCGTATTTTCATTTTTTTTTAATTACATGAATCCTAAATTATACAATTTAGTCGTTATTAACACGTGCACGCATGTTTCGAGAGTACATCGCAACAGGATCCAAACAGGATTTTAATTGAAGGAGTTTTTAAAGTCCTGACATTTTTACAAAGACAAAAAATATCGATTTTTCATGTGATATTCAGTTGCTTCACATTAAGATCTATTTTTCGATACATGCCCTAATCTATACATCACATCTGAGTTCGGGAGCACGGAATAAAAAAGTTCACTTCCTTATTTTGAGTCGTTTAATGTAAATCTAATGTCACCGCTGTTCGAAGCTTTGCCACATGTCATCCACAGATTGCAGATTAGCAGACTGTGACTTTATGAAATTAAGATGTTGGGTCAGGTCACTTTTTTTTTTTTTTTTTTTTTTTTTAAAGAAAAAAACACATGAGTGATTATTGCTTTTAATTTCACTTTGGACAAAAGTATAAAAGCCAAAAACCTGCTGTTTAATTACCCAACCTGCCTTTTGGTTAGTGTTTCTCTGAACTTTGGCAAATTTAGTATAAATAAAATCAAATTAAGATTAATTTTTGATATTCAGAAGTCCTGTAAAAAAAAAAGAAAAAGAAAAAGAAAAAAAAGAAAAAGAAAAGAAAAAAGTATTGACCTTTTCTTGCTTGAATTAAAGACCAAACATCCTCCTCATGCAGGAAAGTTGAGTTTCATTGAACCCAGCAGCCCTCAGGAGCAGACACACTGGACTCAACAGGGAGGTTTTCAACAAAAAGGACAGGAAGTATGCTTCTTCTATTTCTTCTTATTGGAGGAATTATGTTACCACTAACCAAAGCCCCATCTCCCACCTCCCCCATCTCCACCCAGAGCCACACCACCTGCCATGCACACCATGCATAGCTTTGGTTCGCTCTAGGGTCAGTGGCAGTTACCTGCGGCTGCACAGCGCCACGGGAGAAAAAATAAAAATAAATAGAGGTGCTCTTAAGTAGCAGGGGGGGTGTCTTATTGGACTTCTAAGATGACCTCGCACACTGGCTCATGCTGAGGAGAAAATGTGAAAAGTTCACTGTGGTTTGGTGGGTCTCGGGCTGGAAATTCCTGCCACAATAGATGCTGCGTGGGTTTGTAAAGAGTGAGGGCTTGGTCACTTTTAGGCCCATCAGTCAGACTAATTCTTTAAGTGCTGCAGCCAATAAGTCATGTGAGCCACCTGGAAAGACCTTCAGCTTCACTTTTAATAAAAAAAACATGTACCGCCAGTGTGTTAGAACATTACGCAGCACTCATCATGTTCAAAATATGATTGAACTCAGCTAATTATCATTCATTTCAGTCTTAATGCGACTGAACATGGTCCAACACATCCAAACCCAGGCCTGAGAGGCCAAAATGTGCCACTTCAGAAGGCAGAAACATGACATCATGACGCCTAAAGCCACACTCGGGTCTAATTTAATCTATCGAAATGTCTTCAAACTTTGGCTGGCCACGAAACACAAAAACAACCAGTTTATTTTCTTCAAAAGCACTAATTTTGCGGAGCTTATGAATGTCTTATGAATTAAATCTGCAGAATGTTTATCCCATGAAGCGCAATATCAAAAAAAGCAGTGCATTCGTGCTTTTAAAGTTTGCTTTAGTTTTTTTTGTTTGTCTTTTGTTTTTTTTCCAGGAGTCAGGCATTCTTGAGCGCTGACAGACTTCAGCTCTCAGACACTTTACTGAGACTCATCCAGGTTCATGTGGACATGCTACACAGGTCACCTGTGACTGAAACCAGATCAAACCAGCCAGTAAATTCAGCCAGGCTCAATCCAGATGCTGCGATATACAAGACTAAAGCAAATGTTAATAAAAACACAATAAGAGGGCCAAGATTTTTCTCATATTTAACAGATCACAAGTGATTTACTGAAATAATATCAACAGGACATGCACCAACAATCCAGAGGGGAAAGGTGAGTCTGCATGTTATCACATTATTTGCATATTTCGCATTTTAAAACATTTCACAGGTTTACGACTAACAAAACATAAATCTAAAAACAGCTAGAAGCTTCTACGACTGCCTGGTACGAGTTTGATATTTTGTCATTCGTAATTTAAAACAACATTTATCAAAAGAAGCATAAACACATAAATCACCTATAAAAGCACAGGCTCACAAACAGTTGGCGTAAACAATTAGTTATATAATGATTACTGAATCCAGTTGCAAAAAGGAAATGCTGATCGTTTAAAAACCTGGAGGTGCTTTTGCACCAAGTGAAGATAAATCACCCCACAGTTGTTTGTTTCCACAATCCCAGCTCTCATTGCCATACAAAAACTATCATGCAATTACATGATCAGACTTTATTATAAAAGTATGGATTATCAGAAAAATTTAGATAGATCAAGAAGGTGCGAGTTTAAATTTACATTTACAATTCTATACATTTTATCACAAGTATAAAATATGTCGACTCCTCAGCATATCTTTGTCAAAAATTGGAACATAAATAAATATAAGTATTTTTGTTCTACCTTAATCTCACTTTAAAAATGTGTTAATAATCTTTAAATTTGTCTCAACCTCTGGAGGTAATGAACATGCTACCTGTGACATCAGTCCTGCCCTCTGTTTTGACTCTGACCCAATTTCATCCAAGCGATATTATGAGCCAGTGGTCGTCATTCGGGAAATAAATTAGCTTCGACTTTTACCAGAGTCCAGTGCAGAACAGTTTCTGCTTGTGTGAGTTTATTCCCAATTTCTTTGTATGTTGGCTTCACATTTCCAGGAGAGCTTGCACATTCCTCTGAGTTTATATCCATTTCCCTTCTCTTTACTTTGGCTGAAGGAGCTGGCTAATTGTATCAGAGGAGCAGGAATAAATAAGAGAGAAGACCATCGCTTCTGTCATTTGTCTTTGCAGTTAAAAGTTATTTTACACCCCGAAGTGTTTCCAGTGCCTGAGACGAAGTAAAGCCATATATCTCTAAAAAAAATAATAAAAAAAATTATATACTACACACTTTTCTTTTTAAAAAACTACTAAGTTAGTCTTTTTATGATTTACTGTTCACTTGAATGATAAATATAACAGCTTCAAATCGGCTTTATTCCTTCTCCAACCACACTTCAGTTAGTATGTAATGCTGCCTGCACACATGCACTGCAGTTTCTCTATTGTATGTCTTGCATCAGGCTCAGTTTATCGCCATCAGTACCAAGAGAAACGGCTGCACCCTCAAAGCACCACACTAGTAGTTTTTGCCAATTTACTAAAAATAAATTATACTTTACATCACAGCTGATTATTCTATACAAGATATGCTGTTGTGGTTTAGAAACGTGATCGTCTTTCCGGGCAGAAAGTGGTTTCCATTAATTTACATATGATATAAGAAGTAATCAGCAACAAAAAGCCAAAATGTACAGTGTATGTAAAACTTGCAAACACACTGCTCTGGTTCTTTAATGCGTTTGAAGACAGCACTTGGAACGATTTGGACACAAAACCCTCTCTCTGCCAGACTCCATCTGACAACATTTGCTGACTTGAGGTCAGGCTGGCAGCGCAGTCTGGGCTGAGAGGGACATTCTTCATCTTATCTAAATGTGTGGTGGAGCACTCATTTCACCAGGCAATGGATTTTGGATGTCTTAGGTTACATATAATTTACCCATAACCCAAAAGTAAACAGATCTAACGAAGGCTGGTGGACGAAGGTTTAACAATCTAATTTAAGAGGCAGTGGTTGTAGAGGAGAAGTCTGAAAGGCTGGCAAATCTGAGCTTGTGTCAAACAAAACAAAAACCTGTCACATGATGTGCATATACAGCAGTTTTATATCACCTGTATGTGCAATAGAAATCTGAATTTTCCAGCTGTATAATGGCAGTTTCATGAGAGAGAGAAAGAAAAAAGAAAACACCCCCCTTGGTGTCCCCCAGGGGGGCTTGATGAATCAGTCCCCCGCTGAAGGAGCACAGTGCTCTTGGGTTTCACAACAGCCCCCAAGTGGGCAGGACCACCACATCTCTGGCATACTCCACTCTCCAGGACAAAAATCCCCATCAGCTCGTGTACAGTCAAAACACACCCTCCAGACATGTGTAAGTGAAAGATAGAAGGAAAATAAATAGGGAGACATGCATTTCCTGCCAGGGAGCCACTCTGCAGCTCCGTCTATTTGTTTTGACATTCGTTAAGTTATCATTTCCAGG